TTTTGAAGGTCTAAATGTCTATCGATTTCTTTGTTATATTTTTGGGGGTTGATTTCTTTTAAAAACGGGATATACCTTAGCGGTATGTATATGTGTCTCGGCGGCCTTAGCTTTAAGTGGTCGATATTTCCTTATATTTCGATTTGGGTGTCATGGAATGTTTATTTTTGACTAGTATGGTTTATCGGTTTAGACCAAACTGTTATAATTCGTAATATTGTGGACCCATAACCCACTTTGGTATTTTTCCGAAGTGAACGCAACGCGAACGAAGATATTCTGGCTTTATAGAATTACTGGTTAGGTCGGATTTTGAGCAGTTCCGATAGTTTATTTTTGATTGGCTATTTTGCAGCTGATCTAGCGGATTACGGATAGTTGGATTCTCTTTAATAATCAATTAAGCGATTAGATTATTCGTATGTTTTAAGCACTATGTTATGTGCATTCTTTTAATATGTCCAAGAAGTCTAACCCCATGTCGCCTCGCTCGCCATCACCGTCCCACCGAGTTTCTATTCCCATTTTGTTATCGACAATATTCGGAAGGCTCGACGAAATCGACCTGGGAAAAAAAACCGATATGGCGGTTTTTATCAAGTGGGTGCCGAGTTACGTCGGGCGCGCTAAGGACCCAAGAGGAAAGAGAGGGCGGTTGGCATTTAACACTCTCTGCAGACATTTCTTTTTCCGCTAGTCTAAAAACTCGATAGTTTTATATTTTGTATTTTACATTTTAATAAATCCCAAGTTTTCAAACGAGTATTCTACTTTAAAAACACCTTGATTACAATTTGATTATTTTTATTTCCGACATAAATTTAAAAATGAAAAAATGGAGGGTTGCCAAAAACTAAAAAAAAAATTAATTTAAAAAACCTTTAACTTTTTATACATTTTAAATGTAAAGGCATTAACGCAAAACATTCTAAATTTGTTTAATGCAAAAACGGAATAAATTTTATCGAAAAAACATTAAGAAAAATATATATGCATATATATGTGTATATATTACAAAAAAATATTTTTCTACTCCCGTCTGTAAAATGACTAACTACACACCGATCTAGCGTGCGGGAAGCGCCACTTTACCACGTCAGTTTCGTTTCCCATGAATCCGAGCCACTTTGGACATTTCCGGGATTTTACCGCACTGGTTTGGGGACAATCGGATGTTTTCGGAGATATTTCCCACGATTTGAATTTTGACGATTGTCAATTCTAAGGGTATGTCAGTGAATATATTAGGGTTGTTTTGCGAAAATGTACCCCAAAACTAACGGTCGTAGAAAAAGTATAGTATGCAACACGGTCGGTAAACTTTTTAAGTCACTCGCTTATAAAACACTCGCTCCGCTCGTGTCTAATAAACTCATGAGTCAAATGCCGTTTACCGCATTTTTTGCATAATATACTAATTCTTTGCTGGTTTATGTCTACGTTTATGTTTATATAAAAATCATGAAGGGACTTGTGGCGTTTTGAACGATATTACTATGTAAGATGATACGTCCTGCGTGGTCGAAATGTTTGCTTTAAAAGCATTTTAAAATATACATCCATCATCGCCAATTGGGTTGAGTGTGTTCTTCTTAAAAGAAAGAGAAATTAAATATTTTATATCAAAATCTACTGTTGATATATTACCCCATACCTTTCAAAACAATTTTACAATGAAAAACCGAAGAAACAATCTTTTGTTGCTAATATTTCGAATTCTGGGCAACCTTATACAAAGTCACCGTTTATTTACATGCATTCAAAATATAAAAAAAGTAAATGTGACCTTCTTACCGCCACAAACTACTAAATTAAATTTTCTTCTGTAAGAAAATGAACGCCAAATACATAGCAAAAGCTTTCAGCTGGAGGAATTGATATGCAGGGTGTTCAGGGAATTCCTCAGACCATAAACAATTTCCGATAAATGTAGGCCCGAAAATGCATTGTTCTCTAGATATAGGATGTTATTTTTTTTTTAATAATGTGTTGGATTCCCTCGTGGACTATAAAAGCACTTTCAAATTTAATACATACATACATTACATACTGTTGTCGAGAAAAGTTGTAGTTATATATATATATATATATATATATATATATATATATATATATATATATATATATATATATATATATATATATATATATATATATATATATATATATATATATATATATATATGATGACACTACATTCCGGGATATCATCCGTTCGCTCGTTGAACTCCGACTGGAATCCTGCTGACGTTTTGCCAAAATCTCACTTGGCATCTTCAATGCTCGCGCTCCGAAAACACTTATATATATATATATATATATATATATATATATATATATATATATATATATATATATATATATATATATATATATATATATATATATATATATATATATATATATATATATATATATATATATATATATATATATATATATATATATATATATATATATATATATATATATATATATATATATATATATATATATATATATATATATATATATATATATATATATATATATATATATATATATATATATATATATATATATATATATATATATATATATGTAATTACATATCCAACCAACCTTTTCCTCTAAGCTTTTCTGGCAATTTTAACATCCTTTACAACTCGGTCTACAATTATACATTTATATATATATATATATATATATATATATATATATATATATATATACATAATTATATATTATAATATGCATGTGAAAACAGATACACTAAATATAACATCTATTGGCTATTTACTTCAAATGGGGATGATTTATCTTTTGGCATATATGGCTCAGTCTGAGTTGAATAACTTCCCACACTCTAAGCAGGTACCTATATTTTTATTTTCCCACGGTCGGAAGTAATTTAACTTCTAGCACTCTAGTTGTTGCGGATCAATGCAAAAAAAAGGATTGCCGAATTAAATATTTGAAAAATTAACATGTTTATTAGATTTATACATTATTAGCAATTTCCGCAGACACCATCGCTAAACTAAAATTTCAACGCCTGCTCCTGAGACTACTTTGAATTCACCTTCTCAACTTTCATATTCATTCAAGGTCATCAGAGATTCCTCTATTTCCCTCGGAATTATTGAATTACTTTTCCTACACTCAATATTTGCAATACTTAAGTTGAGTAAGCGGGGACACCTACCCTACCTAAAATAGTTGTAGTTGTGGCCAATCGTATAGTTCAAAATTATGATAATTTATAATATCCGATTATTATCAGCAAATTTTTCAATGGCCAACGTTAATATCGGGGTTAATACCTATATAAGCCGGACATGGGTCACAAGGCGAGCGATTTGTAGCCACAGCTGGTATCAACATAACCACAAATAAATATAACATATAATCAATGTATTTATTGTTCCTCGAGCAATGTTTTGAATTTGTTATATCAATAGAAACTGAGTCACGGGCGTGACACCTATGGCGCGAAAGTTACAAGCAATATAACCAAGAATATACGTAATTTAATAAATGCATGATATTAGGTTATGTTGCTTATTCATATATTCAAATCATTTCACTTACGGGAAACTGCCCATAACAATGACGATCCTCTGATCCCTCATATCGTTTCGGGAAGCTGTATTTCGTATATTTATCTCGATACATCACGCAATCTACAGTGTATAGCGCCACAAAATAAAAAACACAGTTATTCCATTGGTTTCAGATGCATGCACATTGTTTGTCAAAAGCCGTTTCACTTTTTTACGCCGGATTCGAGTTTTTCAGTGATAAATTTCACCTTTGTAGGATGAAAACACAGTCATAGCGGAACCGAAAATGTCTAGTACCACTTACAAATCGCGTCTGCGCCGAAGTTAGTGGTAAACATAAACACTACGAATGGATCTAACTCCAACGCGAAATAGTTTCACTCTGTCACGTTCAGGAGGGACACCGCCACGTGCTCAATACGATCTGATTCGCCAGCGTTTGAAATTACACGAGATTGTAAAAATGCACCAATTGGATAACGCAATGCCTTCTAAAATGTTAAAAATTCACCCGTCTCACAACGCAATGTGGGTTGCATATATTAGAAACTTATAAGGGTATTTTTAAGTAAAAGAAAGTATTGTTTGATTCCACGTGGATTGTTAAAAATCAGTTTTAGATTTAATACATTTATTCACTTTTTCAGAAAAGAACATATACATATGCGTCTAGTATACGCGATGAAATTATAACGTCGAGCTTTTGTCTCTTTAACAATGGTTATTTGTTTTTTCGCTTAATTAAATTACAAGAAACCTCTCAGGAAAAAAAAGCACTTAGAGCGCGATTTCCTAATATTCATAGTTTAATGTACGGGAACATTTGTTTATTGAGTTATATAACTTAAATATATGAAAATCAGTTAGAAATCTATAACTTTAATTTTATATATAACATTTAGAACTTTAAGGACAAAATTTTATACAAAAAATATTTTAGCTTATTAGTTGCTTTAGTCTATTGATTTATTGGTACAAAATTTATATAAAAATTAGAAAATAATTGAAGATATAACTTGAATAGAAAAATGTATCTAAATATTATCTAATATGGGAGTGGGAATACGGTATTACATTATTTTTTCTTTTTTTTTTTCCTAGAAAGTATACTATACGTACGCAACTCTCCTTTAAATTCGTGAAGGACCCTTACGATAATAACTGTTTTTTTTAATTTCCAAGCTTTGAAATCTAACGTGTGTACGAGATAAAATTCTTTAAATTTTCTTTCTTTCTTCTTTAAGCAACTATGCTACTGGATACATAGGATACACGGGCAAAGAAGGAAGGGTAATATGTTTTTTTTATTGAAGCCAAAGCGGAAACCGGCCACTCTGGAATTATTTTTAACGCTTTGGATGGAATTTTTGTCATAAGCGCGAAAATATTTACATTATTATATTTTTTAAAATTTATTTATTATTTTATAACCAAAATTCAAGAAAACAGGGGCAATATACTAAAATAAAGGGAAAAAATTATCGAAACATAAATTAATTAAAAACAATTGCTGCGAGGGTAGTTTCAACGTCATGAATTCAAAGTTGCGAAGTACTCATTCCCACGTAAATGATCTAAACAATGATTGATAACGGTTAAGTCTATAAAACGATAAATTCCAAGCATACAAGATGACTAAAACAATATTTAGAGGAAAAGGTGGTAATGTGGCCCCTGCAGATATATTGGCCCCCTTCAATATTTTAATGTTTGAACAACGCCATCTAGTATGTTTTATGCGCGTTACGGGATGCTCACGGCATGATACGTATTTAGTACCTTACAAATCCACCAGAGCCTGTCGCGTTCGATTGTTATTCGAAACAGTTGAAACTCGTTCCCGGTAAAACTTTAAACTACTGTTATTTTAATTAGGTAATTGTTTATAAATAGAGTGTTTTGGCTATTGCATTCGGACATTGGATACGTTGAACTGTTCTTCTACGGGAATTAAAAGGTAAATACAAAATTAGATTTGTAATAATTATTTTTGGTACGTTTGTTTAAATATTCTCAATAGTTGTAATTTGGCCCCTCATGTTGGTTGTATAATGCTCCCGGGGGCGACATTATATGTAAGAGTGATTCATAATTTTCATATTTTTATTTTTTGCTTTCAGAGCTAGACAAGGAAGAAACAAAAAAAAATGTAAATATAAAAATGTATTCTATGCCTAGATCTACACTGAAACGGTTAGTAAAGGACCCTCAAGAATCTTTAGAGTTGCTCGTACATAAACCGATAGGAAGGAAACCTGTACTTCCAGCTGAGATGAAAAAAAAGTTAGTGGAGTATATCTTGTTCATAGAGTCCAGGTACTATGGGCTTACTAGAATGGATGTCCGGAAAATGGCTTATCAGTTAGCTGTTAAAAATGGTATTCTTAATACATTTAAGAATGAAGCAGCAGGGTGTGCTTGGTGAGATCATTTTTTAAACCGACATAAAGACACTTTATCTTTACGCAGACCAGGATTTTTAATATTGACCACAGGTGTTATGTAAAAAAGGCAAAAAACAGATAGGTGCCTTAACTCCTGCAGAACGAGGGTTATTATGTACTCTTGTTTGCTGCATGAGCGCATCGGCTATATTTGGGCCACCTATGATGATTTTCCCCAGGAAAAACTTTATATATTTTGATGAAGGGAGCGCCATCCGGTTCGATAGGCAAAGTTCATCCATCTGGTTGGATACAATTCAATTTGTTCACTGAATGGTTTAAGCATTTTATTGATAAAACAAATCCCAGGGTCGAATATATCCGATATTACTCATCTTTGACGGCCATTACAGTCACACACGCACAAGCTCCAGCCTCTGGACAAGACTTTTATGGGTGCCCTAAAGAGTTATTATAGTGAGGAAATTCGCAAGTTTACTTTTGCAGTCTGACAGAATGCTAAAACCATACATCGCTAAGCTTTTTGGCAGAGCATATCTTAAGAGCACTACGGGAGAAATCGCATTAAAGGGTTTCCGTGCCACAGGCATTTATCCATTTAATCCTCAAGTTTTTACAGAAGTCGATTATTTAACGGAAGAATCTAACAATAATCAATTATCTTCTACTCCTGATAATCAAGATGCAGGCCCTGTAGCTAACCAGAGTGCCCCAGAGGAGAGTGTAGAGGCACAAGCACCGGAGCATAGTTTGGTTCTACCAGAAAACATTCAGCCAATTTCTACGACCAAGACTAGGACTTCTAATCGTGTAAGAAAGGCTACAACAGCAAAGGTGATCACGTCATCACCATGCAAAAATCAATTAACCGAATCTTTGCGCTTAGCACAGAATCGTGAACATGAACGAGGAAGAGGCCGTGGACGCGGACGAGGACGTGGACACGATGTCGAACGTAATCACGACAGAAAAGGGTCCGGTAGGAATGTCGTTCGATGCCAGAGAGAAGCTACATCCAGCAGTGGCTCTGAAAGTCACGAAGACGCAGTGAATACCGATTCCTGAAAACGCGAACGTGCCGTGTATGTCCTGCCAAACGATTTATTGCAATGACAGACCAGTGTCAAAGTTGCAATTTATGGGCTCATGTGGAGGTTCTGAACGATACTATTATATTTGTGATTTTTGCCGTTAATTTTTAATTGTGCAATACATTTAATGTGACCCCCCAGGGGGTCACATAACCATCACTTGATCTCGAGATACCAAATTTGAATAACTTAACAATAAATAATATTTTTGCTATCTTGTACGCGTTTCATTTATTTCATAGTCAGGGATGTATGGACCAATAAATAAGAAGTCCTATAATGTGAGGTTTGTCACTCCTATATTTTTTAAATAAAACTTAAAAAACAAAATGTGGGCCACATTACCACCTTTTCCTCTACATAAAAAACAATTAAAATGTTATTACACTAATTAACTTAAAGTAAATAGTTTAATGTTTAAAAGTAATGTCTGCAGAGAAATCAAAACTCAATTTTTGTTCACTAACCACTTAAAAAATAAAATGTTCAAGTTTCGAGATAAAATCAAAATTATCTTATCACTGGTTACTAATTGCGACCCTGACAATGAACTGTAAATCCACGCCTTAATAAGGAACTTTGGACGTTAAATTCACGATTTTATCGTACTCAAAGAGAAACACAACGTCGTTACATTATAACAAAATAACAAACTTACCACATCATATATGACATACCATGACGATTGGAACGGTTAGGTTAATTCGATGATATGTCGGTATTTGTTAAATAGTGTTTTCTGCAATCGCCGACTAAGTTTTGGGATGCATCAATCTGTTACAACGCAAAATCTTACAACGAATGGCAAAAGACACCTACCCATACACCTACATGTTTGTTTCCAGCAAAATTCGTAAATAATTCAGCACTACGAAAGCGCTGCTGAAAATACAAGACACCCCTTTTGATAATAGACCACGGCACATTTTTTATTCGCATACCCTTTCATTAGCGTCGAAGTTTCTTTAAGTTGTCATCCATAGGCGTATTCATGTCGATTTTATTCGAAAATAGTCGCACACTTTTATATGAATAAGTTTCAAAAAATGACATAATTTAGGTGAATTCTCCTGTCACTCAGTTTTGAGGTGCGATATTTAAGCTAAAAGTAACTTAGTTATATTTCGGGATACTACTTAATACCAAAGAATAGGTGTTTCATTGCTTACAACTAAAACCTTTCATTTTACCGATATTTATTACATTTATCAATCTACCAATTACTATGTAAATTTTTCGATATTCAATTTCTCTATTATTGCTTGAACAAAAAAGTGATCCACGTAGCAGTAAAAATAATACTAGTTCAATCCAAGCTATAATCTAACACCGTGTTGATATTATCAGTTATTGTATTAACGTAAAAAATAATCAACGGCGACGCTGGAGCAAGTCTCTTTCTAAAAAAAGTTTCTCTTTTGCTGCAACAATTATTACACTTCACCAAGTCACTTTTCAATTTGATATAGACATGAATTTAGTCGGGCAATACTTTAGCTACATAAGATGGTTCATGCTGGTCGCCGGCATTTGGAGAGTAGAAGTGGACGAATTTTCGACAATTAAGAAAAAAATCTACTCTATCTACTCAGTTATAATACAAATAATTTGTACTTCGCCAATAGTGTCTGCTACGTTGTACGTTCCGATGCTGTTCAACATCAACAGGGTAGCTGATGGTAAGACCGACTGGTCCCAAATAGCGACGGCCTTAAAAAAACATTTTTATTGGTAACAAAACGCAGCCAACTTCTTTTAAAACACATCCACTGTCCCTAGATTCATCTTTTATTTTATCTTTGATACGCACATTTTGGACATCCTTTGAATGTAGGTTGATTGGTGAGGCAGCGCACCACTTTCAGTATATTGAGCCAGTCGGCAATAAATTGAGACCATACATTCTGAATGGTCTTGACCTTTTATGAGTTCTTGATGATGATTTACGCGTGCGATTGTCCTGGTATGGTCTGTTCATAGATATAAGAAAGTGACCAATTGCTGTTGAACGGATTATCCAAGGGTGGTCATTAACATACAATGCAACAAGGTTATTATTAATTAAAGTAATTATTAATCAATTAATTAATAATTGATAATAATAATCTTATTGCAGGTAATTATTAATTAATTATTTATTAATTACTAATAATATCCTTATTGCATTGTATGTTAATGACCACCCTTGGATAATCCGTTCAAAAGAATTGGTCACTTTCTTATATATATGAATAGACCATATCATTCCTTCTTACTACATATGACCTGTTGGCCATGAAGGAAGCATTTGATTCCACTTATTCTTTTTCCTACAAAATATTATAATTTAGAGACATTTTAATTTGCGGTATGGCATTTCGAATTAGTAGATGGCCTCTAAAGTATCAAGTCCTTGAAGAGGATTTACTCACCCGCTTACTCAATACATAAATTTATTTCCTAGAGCCATGAACTTAATTTGTTTTTCTCTAACTGAAACTGAAAACGATCCGGTAAAATTTCGATTATCATTTTTAGCAATTAGTAACATCGGCATAGTTGTATTTTTCGGGATGGTAATAGCCAAAATGATGATGTGCCAAACGAAGCCAATAATAAATCTTCTCGAAGTGGCATTGCGAACAGAGTTTCGTATGGGACTTGTTGATGCTGAAGTGGAAGCTATATATGAGTCGCATATTAACTTGGATAACGGCTTCATCACATTACTGTTCGCGTGGGCCATACTGATGGGTCTATGTGTTGCTTCTTTTGGTGAGTGAACCAATATAAACATTTAATTTAACTCCTCGTAAAAGATATGATAAATTTCAGGAGACGTTAATTGCTACATGTATTTTAAACAAAACAGCAATGTAACAGAGAAACCTGTGCTCGTAAACTATTGGTATCCTTTTGACATCAACAAACACTACGCCGTCATCATGATAGATCAGAATATCAGGCCGACGGTGGCGTCTCTTTGTGTTTTCGTCGTGAACTCGTTTGTCAATTGCATAATTATCTTCGTAAGGCTGCAACTTAAACTGCTACAGCACAGTTTCAGGAACTTTGACAAGTTGTGTCTAGAAAGTGGGCAATCAGAAGGAGGAAACGTGCTGATGATGCTCTGCGTCGAGCATCAAAAGCTAATCGAGTCAGTGAACACATGAGATAACAACGTTGCAAGCTTTTAGTAAAACATATTACGTTTTAAATTCACTTGTTTTAGATATGTGCAGGACCTGAATGAGTCTTTCAAGACGATAACACTTTTGGAATATATGGTCTCCTCGGTTTCTTTTGCTGCACAGATTTTTCAAATAACCGCCGTAAATGAGAGCACATCGTAATAGCGGAATTGAAAATAATAATTATCTTTTTTGCAGGGCGTGAGACCGTATTTGGCAACGATAATATTATGTTATACGATATTACAACTCTTCATATTCGCTTGGAGTTCGAATGAGGTTATTATCCAGGCAAGATTTAAATGATCGAAAAAGTGCAAAATATTTTATTGCGCATTTCAGAGTGAGGAGTTGGCTAGAGCTCTCTTCGAGAGCGACTGGTTCGTTCAGGATGTCAGAACTCAAGCTCTGGTGCATATCATGATGTTAAGGTGTCAGAAACCTCTCAGCTTAAAAATTGCTAGGTTCGGCGTCATGGATTTAGATGTTGCAATTTCGGTAAATCTGCCAAATCATTTTAATCAATTATGTGCTAGTTCCAATTTGAAAAAGGATTTTTATCTATTATTGTCTATTGCTTTGTTTTAGAGACTCAAACTGGCATACTCCTACGCGTCGCTGATTAGTGGATCTTAACCTTTACAACATATCAGTAGTGATTCATATCAGTAGTGATTGTAATTTGTTTGGTTATTTTATTGGTTTGATTTGAATAAAGAATGCCTAACTCCCCGTGGTTTTCTCAAACGTTTGTTTTGAGATTTGCTAACTAACTAAAACGAAAACAATAAATTTTGAAATCGTCAAGAAATAGATCTAATAATTCACATTAACATAATGATTTCTTTGAGACGAAATATATTCCTATTAACCCAGCGCATCCGCCATTAATGAAACATTGCTTATTTGAAAAAAGGCAATAGAAAAGAGTTGAAATTTGTTGTAGTTGCTGACCTTTCTTAAATGAAATATAATTGAAAATTTGGTACATTAACAATCCTTTAGTTCAGCAAGCAACTGTTACTCTCTGTATATTTTACAAGTTTCCTAGTCAATTTCAACTACAGAAATGGTGAATATGTAATAATGTTAATTTAAAATCGCATTTTTATCTTATTAATTATAATTGAACTGTTGGGATGCTAAGTTAAATGAAACTGTAGTAAATACGATGATCGAATGATGTTTGTCTTTTATTGAGACTTTTGGCTTCATCAGAATTATTTGTTATAGACTCAAAATGTCACTATATATATATATATATATATATATATATATATATATATATATATATATATACATACATACATACATATATATATATATATATATATATATATATATATATATATATATATATATATATATATATATATATATATATATATATATATATATATATATATCTATATATCTGGCGTCTCTGATGGCATCCGTACATAATTCATACAAGGTGGTATCCTGGCAATATACATTTACTCAAATGTATATTTTTTGGGTTTTATCTAACGGAGGAAGTGGCATCCACCTTTGCTATTTATAGAACGCATTTTTTGTCAGCTATTCGGGCGCAAGGTCATCGTTGTTATTTAGTTTAGAGTTTTAGTCTTCCCCTTGGGCACGGGTTCAAGTGATATTCATGTTATAGCTCTCGAAAAAAAAATGAAAAAAAAAATTGACCATAATTACTGTGTTTTTCTCAGACAAAAATAATCTGAAAAATCTCGACGTGTTAAGAGAAAACATCATTGCTGATCAAAGCGTCGGGAATTTAAAAAAAAGTAAAAATCGAAGAAACCGATTAACTAACTAACAAGATTCAGTCTCCTTTGAAAAACTGATTAAAATGCGGTAAATACAGCTGATTACATCGAAATTAAGAAAGAAAATCCTCACAAGGATTATATGGAAAATTTCTAGGGCAATTAAGGTTTCCAGATAAACCTTACACTCAGATATTCAAAATGGACAACAATGAGCATGTTGCTTTATTTATGGGTTTAAATGAAAAAAAAACAATCAGAATTTTATCGTTTGCTCGACGACGTTTCCCAAACGACTTAAGTGCATAACATATTTATACTTTCACAACATAAATAATCAAAATCACAACGAACTGAAGAGTAGGTTACAACTGCTGCGGAAGAAATCCTTAGAGAAAAAAACAAAAAAATAAAATTTAAGTTGTTACCATGAACGACGATCAAAAACAAATTACAGAACGGTTTTTCAAAAAACATATTAAAAATAAAAATTGTATAAATCGTGAACTGTCCTGGGATTTTTATAAACCAAACATTGTCAGTAAAAAAAATTTACGTATGCAATAAATTTTAAAAAATATGCTGATCCGAAGAAGAGATTTTATTTACAAATTTAGAAAAGGTTCATTTTTAGTTTACTAATGTTTATATTTTTTTCGGAACAGTTTATGTCCATTTTAAAGTATTTTATTTTGCTTTTGAGTTATAATTGCATATAGAGATGACAATTTAAAAACCTAAAACAGCTTTGTTTAGGGACGAAAAAAAAATCGAAAATCGCTGGAAACGATTTCTATCAGGAGAAGTGAAAGCATAAAAGTATATTTACTAGACATTGAACATTGACCATTAAAATTTCAACTAGCAAAGGGATTCGAGTGATGCTCATTTAAAGCTTTTGAAAAATGTTTTTGAGGAATACTAGAAAATCTAGATTTTATAATATTCTTCTCGGTTTGATGTAAATGAATGCAAACTTTTGAAAGATTTAATTTTCATTTCATTAATTAAAAGTGTTTCTGTTTTCTAGCAAACCAAGAACTTGAAGCGTTTTTCAAAAGCTTTAAAATAAGGTATTCCTCTGCTCCTTATTTAAGATTTCAATTGAGAATCTTGCTGTATCCAAGGGGTTGCAGATTGGGCCTAATTAATATACATTTTTTGTTCTCACTTTGGATAGAAATTGTATTACTCGAGCCTCACTCGATTCTGGATTTCGGATGTGAATTTCGTTCTGTCCAAGGGATTGCAAAGAAGGGATAAGAGAAATGCAAAATTAAATATATAGTCTTTATTTACCATATTTTATACGAAATGATCAAATGAATTAAAATAAAATAGATTGCATAATAAAATAAAAAATAAACCTTTTTCGTAGCAAAAATTTGGAAACAAAAATAGTTTTCATGTAACATTCGTTATCATTGACAAACTAAAAAACATTTCTACATTTGTAAACAACACATCTTCAGACCCATTATTTTTTATTAAATTTATTGCATATGTAAACTTTTATTACTGGCCATGTTTTGTTTGTAAAAATCCCAGGATGACTCTCGATTAATCTCATTACCTCCTGCTTTTTTGGAGGAATTTTATTTTTAATGTGTTTTTTGAAAAAACACTCCGTAATTTTTTTTTGGTCGTTTGTCCATGGTACCAGCTTACGTTTCCGTTTTTTTTCTCTAGGAATGTCTGCTACACCAAAGGCAGGAACCTGATCCTGATTTTTCAATTGATTCGGGTTTTGATTTTCTAACACATTTTTGTAAATATCTTCTAAATAATTGTCATCACTTTCGTCTATGATCTCATCATTTAATTCTATTTCATTCAGAGGTTTCCCTTTGTTCTTTTCAAATAACGCTCTGTTTTGTGAAAGTAATAATAACTTGCTTACTTTAGCGGTTTGGTAAACGTCGTCTGGCAAACGATAAAATTCTGAATGGGTTTTTTCATTATGACCCATAAATGAAGCAAGCTGCTCCAATTCATTTTTCTCCATTTTAAAAATCTAAGTGATAGTTGCCAACTGCTTTCTTAACCTAGTGGAAGTCAACAATGATGCTGCTGCCTTGTTTCCACCAAGCGCCAGTAATGAATGTTTTCTCATGACCGTATATCCTCCAATTGGATTTAATGTTCCCGGTAAACCAAAAAGATACTGATTATTTTCAAGATCAAAATTTTTTCTCAGATTTACCAAAGAGAGTGTAGAATCCATCGCGATTTTTTCAAAAAGTACAGGAACCCCTCTACCCCTTTTTCATCTAATGACTATGCGTTTGAGTGATTTAAATAAAATTTTCTCGGAATTTGTCAGCACTTTTTCAAATTCGGACGATCGGACTGAATCTTGGTTTTCTAAAAAGGCTAACAGGGTCATCCTTTGGAGTTCCCCTACCCGCCTTTTGTTAAAAATCATGACACTGCAAAATATCCCTTCCAGTAAATCTCGATAAGCTTTTTCATTGTGATCATTTTCTGCCAAGACAAGTTTGGCTTGTGAAATAAGATTTTTAAGATATTGGTCCAGTTTCTGAAAGAAAGAAAACTACATAAAACAATGATGAAATTTTGATTATATATCTAACTATCTCTATTACAAAATCACTTTTTTTTATTGATAATCTAAACTTTCATTTAAGTCATTAAAGATTATTTCATAGTATGTATTTGGTGAGATATTGTTTTCACAGCGATACCTCTACTTTTTTTTTTAATTTTATTTTTACATAAATATAAAAACTGTAAAACAAATAAACTTAATATAACCGAAACACAATTTTGTCCATCTTCAGGAGAAGATTAAAACTAAATCTTTTATTGGAGATGTCAACTTGAGTGCTAAAACGCGCATCTATGAGAAAACAAATTTTTTCGACGATTATGCAAGAAGCTACTTTTTTCCCAATATTTACACAAGTTTCAAAAAGTGATAAATTTAAATTAACCTTGATATCTTCCGCCACAGGTATTAATGTTGGTTTGTTAAATTTTTTGTAAGCCAAAACCTCAATTGTCCAGTCATTATCAATAAGTTTTATTAATTCCTTGAAATTTTCTATATAATTTTTACGAGGATTTTCCTTTTGAATTTCAATAGAACACGCTGTATTTACTGCATGTTTAATCAGTGTTTCCATCTGAAGTGCCAAAGAAGGGGACTTAAAACTTCGATTTTCAACGTCATACTCTGCTATGTTTCTTGTAGCTAAAACCAGTATTTTAAACATTTTAGGTAAGAGAATCTCAGCTAAACCAAGTGTTTTATTATTTTTGAGTGTTCTGACGCTGATGAGTAAACGAGCTAATCGTCTCATGTTCCGTTTCGCTACTACCAAGAGATGTTTTTCTTTGTGACTTTTTATATAGCGCCTACCAACTTCACAAATAAGTTGATCTTTCTTAGCAACCAACGAAGTTTCATCTGCTCGTAACATGTTTATAAGACCACTAATTTTTAAAGGATCATTCGGTCCAAAATTCCCAACCATTACTGTTTGACCTTCAATCTGTGCTTGAAAGCGTTGACTCGGATCGGGATTAAAGAAACATTTTTTTGCGTGGCGACGAAGGCTATTCTTGGCATAATAGCCTTGACAAAATTTGCAAACAATATAGTCTTCAACTAGCTTTTTTTTGTTTGCCATTACAGGTACAACATTTGATGTAGAAAAGTCACCTTCCCTACGAAGTTTGTCAATCAACTTGATCCGTTTCTTAGATTTCTTCTCTAGCGACAAAATTTCCTGTACTTGTAATTCGTCCCAGTGATTACGCTCCATGTGCCTTAAGAAATTTCCGACATCTTGATTACAATATAGGCATTGATGTTTTCTTCTAACACGTCGAGTTTTTCCAGGTGTTTTAACTTCGGAATCCAGATTGTCATTTTGTCTGAGACTGACACAGTAATTGTGGTCAACGCTATTATTTTCTTCGGGAGGTAAACCTGGTTGTATTGTTTGCACCGTAGTATATGTACTGTCGGGCAATTCTTGACGCAGTTCAATAGGGCTATCCAAAAAAAAAATCACTTTCTCTGTATCCACATTCCCACGAACTTTCTGATTCGGATTCTTCTGGTAATTTATATTCCGAATCGGAAATTATTTGGCTATTATCCGAGCTTGAAGGAGTCATATCTACAAAACAATAATTTAACAATGTAAAGAGGTTACGTAGTTTTCATTTTTCGCGGATAGTTCCATACATTACAGCAAAAACTTTAAAAAAATTGTCTGTGATTTAAGCCAGATACCAAAAATGCACTTTTTCGAGAAAATGTCATTCATTTAATTCTTTTCTTACAATTCATTTTTTTTACAAGAGTAAAGTAATCTTATTTAAAAGTTTTTAGCAAAATGATGTTTCAAAATTGGATCTAATTGTTTTAATTAAGTTTGGATGATAATATTTTTTTGCTTGTTTGGTTAAAAATATCTCATTTAGAACTTATAATCTGAGTAGCACTTTGCTAAAAACTTTAGAATAAGTTTGCTTTACTCTTGTAAAAAATTGTTAACGGTTTGGACACTCTACATGCAAAATAATATTTTTTGTTCAATCAAAAATTTTGATAAAAAATGTCCTTTTCTTCAAAGACGAAAGTTTTTGTCCGTTTAAAATCTTGTTTACCACATCTGGACAAGGACATGAACATGCCGAAAAAAATTCAATATTGTTTATATTCGTAGTTCAGTTTCAATTTTCTCAAAATTTGAAAACTTACTTAACTTAAATAAGAAAAACGAGCACTGTTTTCAGCCTTTATTTCTTAAACCAAAAATTGAATGTGATGTATCATCTAACTTCAGTAAACTAGGAAAATACTTGATGACACGGTTATACTGCAAATTGCAATTGCAAAAGGTTTTTGAAAAGTTTACGTTTATCTCACAAAACATGCATTTTCGGCCCTTTGATTATATAAACTTTCCATCATATTTTTCGGTGAGATCTTGCCTCTGAAATTTAGCAATGCAATTTTCAAACATAAATGGACACAAATAACTGGTTAACATTAAAAAAAGTAACGGAATCGCTTAATATGTTGAAAATATATTAACATGAATGATTTGACTTTTGTATTGTTTGTGATGTGTTTCCGTAATTTCGTTGTTGAATCTCAGTTATTTTAAATATCTTGAAAGAATCTTAACCTGCGAATTAATTCTCGTAATGCTTGATACGGCGAAACTTTGTAACTAAGTGTAAAACAAATTGTATAATAATTTTGACATATTGTCAAAAAAAAGTGTAAATAAAAAAGCTGACCTTCTATAATTTATTTAGGCAATCGAATTTTAAAGAAATTTCATCAATTTTCCGAACAAATCCTTTGGAAGCTAAAACTTTTTTAAAAATTCAATTTCATGGTACCCGCTATACTATACTACAATAAAATAGACGATATTGTGTTGCTTATTATACATACCTGAGAAAATATAAAGCTAATACAATAATTGTCAAAATTCCTACCTGCTAGGCTCTTGTCTCGAGCTAGATCCAAGATACGTTTACTTCTACGATTCATTGTTAAGTTACGCCGACACAAATTTTTATAGGTAATGAAAATATTCAGAAAGGTTAGGTTTAAGGGATAGCAATGTGGCCACTAAAAATAAAACTATATCGCATGGGGAAGCCAATATAATCCGGCGACATATTTCCAATATACACGGTAAATTATGGAAGTCAAAGTAACCGTTGCCAATATCACTATATACACATAAATTGGGGAAGTCAGTGCCACCGCTAAATATATAACCAATATACAGGCACAGAAATCGATGCTAGAGACACAAGCGGAATCTCGTTGAACCACCTCGTATAATTTTATCCAGCTAACGTGAAAATTGACGTCCGCGAGTTTTAAGTGTTTTTGAATAGGTGGTGCTCAAATAAGTGTAATGCCGACATTATTTTAAAAATTCAAGTTGGCATCCGTATATCGGAGTTCACTTTGTCCCGGATGCCACTTTAACCGAGGATTTTACATGGGAGGACACCACTCTGCATCACGTATATATATATATATATATATATATATATATATATATATATATATATATATATATATATATATATATATATATATATATATATATATATATATATATTTACGAGAAGCAGGAAAAGGAATTATTATGAAAGTTACGGGAACCAGTGTTTATAGTGTTATCGTATTCTTATCTTACCTGAGTTTTTCTCGAAAATTATTCATTGATTTCTCGTTTTGGTTTAAATTAGTACTGGGCCACTACCAAATTCGTTTGCTTGAACTCTCAGTGAAGCTTCAAAGACCTGACAGCTCGAAATAAAGTCGTTTCATCTTCAAAACAGCAACGCGTCAAACTTATTGAATAATTCAAGAAGCCATGTCGACACAATTACAAGATTATAGACCTTCGTTGCATATATGTCTAGTTATTTGTACTGTATATTCTACCCTTTGATTAGACATCGAGGGATATATCGCAAGAAACCATTGACGTGGGTGAAGTTATATTTCGTAGCCATCTGTGCATTGAAAATTGCAACAAAATGATTGGGTGAGTTAGTAACTTTTCTGTTCCATATATGAATATACCTGGAGACAATCTCCTAGAAAATAAAACATTATGTAGCAGAAAATTTGATAAATTTGGAATTATAACTCTGGCAGAAGAAGCAGCACATTTTTTAAATAAATTTAAAAAAGTTTAAAACACAAAAGTGCTTATGGCAAACATTGAATTATCATCTACAGAGTTTTTAAAGTGAACTACAAGAAAAAATAAACCTACGCCTCTGGATCTATCTCTTTTTATTTAAGTTTAATGTCCTGTTCTGTTCGATTAGAATATCCTTTGTCGCATACCTGGTCATTTCCTTCATCGAATGGTTACGAGGCAGACATGCACCAAAACGGCGGGTATTTTACTTACATGCAGTGGTGGATGATGCTGATTGGAATCTGGAGGCTTGATACTGAAGATCTTCCCAATTATAAGAAGAAGATTCACAGAGTGTACTCGTTTGTAATTCAAATAGTCGCTTCGTCGCCGACAGTATCTTTTGCAATTGCGGTTCCTGGATTACTGAAAACAAATATCACCATGGGTAATATGCAATGCACACGAAGAATTAATATAATTTGAGTTTCAAAACAAAAACTAAAAATATGAAAAATTAATGAATAAAGTTTCCATCTTTCGAGTAGAATTATTTTTCTATCTTATTCGCTATCGTTACAGTTTATTTGTGAATTGTTTGACAAATTAACAAATTTTTGTATAATTTATTTATATTGTTTAAATGTATAAACAAATCGTCATTATTTGCAAAATTTTACAGAAATTTTAGTAGATTTTTTGTAGAATATATTTGCTCAGTTGCTTGTTTTAATTTCGCAAATCAATTTAGTACATCTTTTTTGTCTATTTTGATCTCTCTTTAATCGATTAGTTTCAAGTTCTGTCTCTCTCTCTTATGTCTACTTCTCGTGCGGGTATTTAATCTCACCGCATCTTATGTTCACAACCCTTGAAACCTTTCTATTCCGACATTTAGCAATCGGCAACATTGGTATCATCATAATGGTCGGCATGATAGTAGTTAAAATGATAATGTGTCAGTCGAAATCCGTTACCAAACTTCTCCAACTTGCGTTACGGCTCGATAGGCAAATCAGAGCACAGAGGGAGCCAGAAATGCAATTAATATACCGGCAGCACGTAAAGTTCGATGATAAACTAGTGGCGTTGATCGCTGTATCTGGACTCTTAATGGGAATTTGCGTGGTGGTGTATGGTAATGTCTAGTTATCAGCAAGACCAGCTTGGACATGTCATACGGTTAAATCGTTTTAGGTGACGTTGCATGCTACGTCTTCTTCAAGCAGAATAAGGAAAGAAACACCACAGAAGTACCCGTAATTGTAAACTATTGGTATCCATTCGATAAGAAAAAATACTACACGTTCGTACTAATTGACCAAAACATTCGACCCACGCTCTCTTGTATATGTATCGGAGTGGTCAGCGCTTTCGTTAACTGCATCATTATGTTCGTGAGATTGCAACTGAAACTGCTGCAGTACAGTTTCAGGAACTTTCACCGGTTTCCTACGCACGGCGTCCATTTGGAGACCGTGAAGAATACGTTAAGGGTGTTGTGCGTCAGACACCAGCAGCTCATCCAGCAAGTACCTAGATCCATTCTCATCGGCTTTTGGTAATGCTCATTGGTTTGCAGATACGTAGAGGACCTCAACGAGTCTTTCAAAAATATTTTACTGCTGGAGTACATAGTGTCTGCGGTTTTGCTGGCAGCACTGATTTTGCAGATAACAGGGGTAACTAGAAATAAGTTTATGGCTTAGGATTCGTACGACCAGCCTCAGTTTTAGGGGAATCAACCACTTTTAATCTGTTTGGTCTTATTGATATGCATCGTTCAATTGCTCACTTTTGCATGGAGTGCAAACGAAATAACTGTCCAGGTAGGAAACATTATATTTATTACCTAAATCAGGAAGATGCTGTTTTGGTTTCGTCTGCAAATTTTACATTTTAGAGTTCGGAATTGGCTAGAGCCCTCTTTGAAAGCAAATGGTATGACCAAAATACCCCGGCAAAGTTAATGACGCAAATCATGATGATGAGGTGTCAGAAACCGCTAAGTCTGCGTATCGGCCCATTTGGAGTTATGGATTTGAACGTCGGATTATCGGTGCAGGTTATTTCCATATTTTTGAGATTTGTGTTTCATATGTGTGCATTTTAGAGGCTCAAACTGGGATATTCGTATACATCCCTTATGACTGGAGATTGATATTTAAATATTATTAATATTTGAAATTTTTCTCTTTTTTTTATCGTAATGAGTTATACAAAAAATAAAAGTTATAATTTAGCTAGCAATTGTAAGCTGTAAAACTAGCACATATTAAATATATTCTTAAAAGTTCAATGAAGATGGCAGTAATTTAAAAAATAATAAACGGTATTATCCAAAAGCATTTGTTGAATCAATTGATTGATGTATTTTCTTGTTCGACATGACAGAGAAAACTTTACACTTTGTCAAAAAAATTTTTTCATAAAGGATAGATTATAATAATCATCCAGAAGCAATCAGGCAGTAGATGAAAGAAAAGATTTAAAAAATGTAGAATTTTTTCTAAAGAATACTTATTGCAATGCTTTTTACAAAACTTCTGGATTCCTCCTGCGTCGGTTTTTGCTTAGTCGAAATCAAATTGGTGACAGGTGACAGCGATTAAGATTGTTAGGTTGTTTATAGATTTCTATAGACTTTCGGATTTTTCGTTGGTAGAAGAACTGATTACATGCAAGAATTTTAGTTTTATCAAATAAAAATTTTATGCCCGCTTTCATGAGTGTGTTCGGAAACAGCTGATGAATTTATTTGTCTTAGCCGTAAGGCTCTTTCGTGTTCTTTGAGCCTATGTGCTGCCTCATTTTTAAAAAGATAATAGGAAAAAGTTGAGTTCTTTAAATGGCATGTTAATTTGAAAAGAATTTGGATTAGAAAAATATGACAAAAGAAGTAAAGTGGTACTAAGTTTCAACGTTTGTAAGGTTATGATGAGTAAACCCCATCCCTGACACCAGAATACACCTTTCCTAGATTTTTTATTAGATATATGATATATAACGCTTTAACTACCTTCTATTTTGTTAGAAGTTTTCTAGTGAAGTACAACCAAAACGTAATTTTAACTTAAAAACTTGTTTTTGTTTGATTAATCAAAATTGATCCATAAAAACAAAACTGGCATTAAATGACTGTTATTGATTGGAGGTTATTGTTCAGCAATTTTCACTGAAACAATTTTTCTAGCACATAACCGGTAGGTTATCTTCTTCCACAAGAACGAAATCGCCTTCTCGGGGAGTGCTTTGAGTCTTCTTCCATTTACAATTTGTTGCAGTTGCATTTGCTGCAGGTGTTGGTATATTGATTAGATCTAATTCAGGTATTGTAGTCAATTGCTTGGTAAATAAAAAGTGAGAAGGAGTCAAGGGACTAAGATCATGGAGAAATATGTACAAACAAACGAAACAAAACAAAAATGTTCAAAAGTTAAATTTACGTCGCTTTAAATGATGTTCCATACTTTTCACACTTGCCGCCACGACATTGGCCAAAATTTCTCGCTTATCGATGCTAATATATGTTGCGGGCCTGCATGAAATAATTTTTCATGCTCGGATGTTGTGGTAAACTAAGTCGATATTTCCTTTGAAAATTATACTTTGCATCTGACAATGTGCCCCCAACGTGCAAAAAATCAACGTCATCAATAAAGGGGTTTAAATTTATAATTTTATTCGAATTTCATTTACCTTTCTTGACTAATTCAATTTCATGAGAAAATGATTCAATTTGAACTAATTTAGATGCGATTAAAAGCATCTTCAATTTGGCCTGAACTGACGATTCTGGTTCGAATTCTTACAATTTTCTTTGAATCTAAATATCAGTACAACTACTCGTGTTCAAGTTTTATATTAGAGAATATTTCAAATATACTAATATTTGAATTTTGACGAACAATAAGAACTTATACCTTGTTTAGAATATCAGCAAGTACTTCTTTGCGATTCAAATTAATAGTGGACCAATGAATTTCGTCTAATTTTAAATAATCCGCTCCATGCCACCATAATTTTTTTACACCTCGTGACAAAAGATCAGCTGGGTTAGTTGAGTTGGAACGTGTTTCCACTGGTTTGAATCTGTTAAAGTTTGAATATGATACACTCGGTTACTAACAATTTTTTTTAACTTATTTGGGGGGTTTTCAACCACTTGAGTATTACGGTCGAGTCTGTTTAAAATACACATTTTTGTATTTTCAGTCTTAGAGCATTCAAAACCTTTTCATACGATCTAGCTGAAACTAAAGCACCGCATAATTTCAATTGAGGCATGGTAATTGTTTTAAGAGGTGCATTTTTTTCAGTGGATTCGACATACACACATGAAGCATCGGAAAAGAAATGGACCTCAAAACTAGTTGAATTTTCACAAATAACATTTCGATTTATTTTTAATTAATTCGTTTTTCTACTCCCGTCTGTAAAATACCTAATTACCCACCGATCTAGCGTGCGAGAAGCGTTACTTTACCACGTCAGTTTCGTTTCCTATGAATCCGAGCCACTTCGGACTTTTCCGGGATTTTACCGCACGGATCGTGAGTCAAATGCCGTTTACCGCACTTGTTGCATAATATACTGTTGATTCAATGAGTTGCGAATAAAACTGATGCCAAATTGGGTGGATATTTAAAGGTAAGCCATTAATTTTGCAACAAAAATTTTATATGGATCTAATGGATCAAATACTTGAGATATTGATTACAAAATTGTATGCTTCGTGATCTTTGAACTTTCCAGAATTTCACATGTGTTATACATTAAACTGTCGCTAGTTATACATCAAATAAAGCCTTATATTTTTGTGGTTTCGTTTTCACCGAAGTCTACAAGTTTTGACAAAGAATCGTTATCAGGAATACATGATAAAATTTCTGGGTTATTGGAATAAAATTTTCTCAACCTTGTATTTCGGACACTGTTTAACATATTTGCATAGCTTCTTCAACCGTATTTGCGCCTGCATATCATCTACGAAAAAGTCCTAGTTTTCATTTGTTAATTGTACTAGACATCTTATAGCAAGAAAGGAAGCCGCCGTTGTACTGTATGTTATTATTGTTTTCAATTCGTAAGCGTCGAGTGGATCGTTTGAAAGAAAATTACATTTTTGCAATGTCGGCTGATACTACGAAACGGTGTTGTCTAAATCTAAGTAATATTGAAAACAAATCTGGCTGAAAGGTGGGTCCCAGCATTTGTAAATTATTTAAAGAAAATCCTGTAGATATCAGAGATGCCCCTGAAAAACTACGCGTTATTTAGTTGTTCTAGCATTTTCTCGAAACACCCCATGGTGAGGCATATAGTAATTTATACTCGAAGTAGAGTCGTCATTCACTTTTTCCATATGACCTAATTCGATATCTTCTTCTTCATGTGCCAAGCAGATTCCTGCATGGGCATTTATCGTTTTCTTATCAGATGGTTCTGTTAATTGTAGCATTCTTTAGTATTTGGAAGACACCAGCCAGCTGAACCTAGGTTTTTTAGCGAGGTTTGACTCCTCGATCCCTCCTCCTTCCTTATCTCTGTGATAAGACCACAGGTTTGGGACTGGCATAGCGGAGTTTCGATATATTCAAGCATAAATTCACTATACATTCTTTTATACTCTGGTTTTGTGTTCAATTTTTTTCCGAGTGATAAAAAATCGTTTTTCCCCGTTATCAAAAATTTCTCCTAACTTGGTAATGGCTTAATGGTAAGATAACCATAAATGCGCGGTCATTGTTTTGCGTCATATTTTGTAATAAGTGCCATTTACGCATGTATTTTTTGTTCATCGATTCTCGAAAAATTACAGCCAATGCTTTTTCATTTAATAAAACTGGGACCCGATACTACCCATCCGAAACGAGTTTTTTGAAGCAAAGATTTATTAGAGCCAATCGAAATTTAACCAAAGGAAATGAACTTCCAAAAGACACGGACACCTATGAGTATGTCAATGCTTTTAGGTTCAAAAAATGTTGGATTTTCCAGTTTAAGTTTAATTTTAAACTTGGTAAATTTCCTGTAATTTTTGGTATAACAAAGCAATAATTTTTTTTCTTCAGAAAATGCATTAAATTGAAATTGAATTTTGGCATTGCATTTGGCTTCAATGCTTGAAAGAGAACCATTTAAGTCCTTCACGGATATTGAACTGAGGTGGCTTTTACTTGATTAAAATCCATTTAATAACATAAATAAGAACTAAAAGTTCAGATTACGAAATTATATATTTCACGAAATTATATATTTTTACATGACAATTGTCTCGACAACACCGTGTCTTTATCAAATGTAATATTTACAAAATACCTGCTACTATATATACCGAAAAATTTCTATAAAACCTTAATTAATGTTGTTGTGAGAATTTAAGTTTAATAAAGGAGAGGTGTTTAAATCTATTTCATCGTGAACATTTGAATGTCTCATTTTGTTAATCTCCATGGCTTCCAATAAATTTAATTATCTAATTTTTGTGGCTGTAGGTAAAATATCAAAATTGTTGTCAAAAATGTGTTTTTCTGTGTTTAAGTGTGAAGCATAATTAGAATCTAGACTATTGTTTTCAAACGCTCTTTTGTGTTCGTTAATGTGTTTGTCCAGTATAAATTTTAGGACAAGATCTGCATTTCAACCTGTAGACACCTGATTTTTGAGATTTTGGACATTTCGTTTTATTGTTTTTTAAAAATTTTCCTATTGTGTTGTTAGTTCTCAAAGCTATTTTTAAACCACATTTTGACAAATGTTTTGAAACTTTCACTAGGTTCTCTTACGTATGTAATTGTTTTAAATTGTTCGTGTTCTGTATTAGGTTTCGGATAAATAGAGTTTACTGTTGTCTGGATTTGTTTTTTATTTATAATTGATATTTAGTTCTTTGTTGTAATTTTCTGTTGAGAGTGGTGTAGTAAGAAGTCTGTGTATAAAAGAGTGAAATGCAGCTATTTTGTGTGTGTATAAGGGTGATTTGAGCTGTTATGTATGACTGTGTCCGTGTGTTAAGGTTTATGATAAATGGAAAAATCTAATTTGTTTTGCGTTTTCGTAATAAGTCTAAAAAATTAATACAGTTATCCTGTTCAATCTCGATAGTGAATTTTATACGATTATGTAATGAGTTAACGTAATTTAAAAAAGAATTCAATTGTCTGTCCGTTCCAACAAAGCAAGCAAAGATATCGTCCACTTATCTATAGCACCATGGAAAACTTTTGCTTAAAGGATGTTCTAATATGACAGTTTCCAAATTATCCATAAAAATCTCAACTAACAAAGGACTAAGTGGGTTTCCCATAATCAAACCTTATTTAAAGATGTAAATCTGTCCATTAGATTCAAAATAATTTTGGTCTAAAGATACTATTAAGCAGTCTAATAAATCTTGTTTCACCAATGGGTTAACCTGTTTCCGAGTTTTGGTGAAATGTACTAAATTTATCACATCCATAGGTGGAATACAGGGAAATAAATTTTGTACATCAAAAGATAGTGTTGCGTTACAAGGGATTTTGATATCTTTAATTTTGTTGATTAATTTTTAACTTTGGTTTAAAATCTCTGTGGAAGTTTAAAATATTTACTAATTTTGTTGAGAGTTTAACTGCTGGAGCTGTTACATAAGACATGACTAATGGACATATCTTGTTTATGTAATTTAACTAAAGAATATAATTTCATCGGTTGTGGATTCATAATTGTTAAAAAATATTTAGCTTTGTCACTAAATAGTAATTACTTCCTTGACTTGTCTTTGATATAACTCGGTAGGATCGTGTTTGATACATTGGAAAAGTTCTGGTTTAAGAAAATTGTTGGTTTTTGAAATATATTCTGGGAGATCGATAGCTATGTGTTAGTGAGAATTTTCAGAAATTCTGAACAGTTGTGTATGTAATGTAGGCCCTTTCAAAATGAACATTTTGCCGCTTTTTGATCGTTAAAAATCCTCCTATGTCTCTTTTACCGCATTTTTCAAATTGTTTATCGGATTGATTTGATTCAAATGTTTCTAGCATTTCCGCTTTTGAGTTTAAAAATGCTTTTAAATATTTTAACTTGGGGACATCTTGACTTTTTGATTTAAACATCTCCCATTCTCGAGCTGTAATGCTCTGGAATTTTGTCCCTACTAAATAACCAATTAAAACATCCGACGAATTTATCGTTAATCGTTACTAACGTCCTTTACATGATTGTGTATTAACATTTTGTCATTGTTGAACCTTTGGACCAGTAAATCCCAAGCGATTTTGTAATTGCTTGCAGAAAATTCTAGCCAGCGGGACCTTCTGTCAACGAAGCTCTTATTTAATGAAAACGCTGTATATCGTTGTTTGCCTCCTTTTTGTGGATAGGTGACTCGAAAATATCAAGAAATTCTAACCAATTTTGCAGCCAACCATCGAAAGTCGGCAAATTTATGACAGGAAGTTTGATATTTTGTAAAGAATTAACAACAAATTCATTAAGAATTTTTTTGCAATTGACACCAGCGAATAGTAAATATATTCAAAGTCGTTGCGCTCTGTATATTTCTTTTCCACATCTTCGCAGATTATTGAATCTCAAAGAACTTTTGCAATGACACACAATCAATGTTTTCTAACCTCTAAATCCGTAAACTCACTTTGATGACTTGATCTGGTGTTTTTTTGTAGCGTCGGCACCGTCTACGTCTGTTTCTGTCTCCTGGATCGCCGCTCGAGCCGCTGTATATACCTTGCAGGTGTTTTGAGCCGCTGCTTCAGTTCTCGTCGTTTTGGTTACTTTGATGTGATTCGTTGGATTAAAAAAAAACATCCGCCAAAGGACCATGTTATTGTTCACTAACATAATTTGTCGGTAAAATAAAACGTCTGAAGATGACTAGCAAATTATCGCGATATTCTACGCGACAGTCTACTGCGCTTATGTTTGCGACTCAGAGACCGACCGACTCTAGTCTGCCTAGAAGTAAAGGTACCATGCACGGAACCTTTTGCACATGCGCACTAACTGAAAACTTTGAAATTGACCAAAAATATTTAACAATGAATCCTAATAAACTGCCTGATTAAAAAATGCCTAATTATCTAAAAACAGGTGGAAAAAAAGATTAATATAATTTTTTTCTTATACCTACCTACCTATACTTTTGGCTTTATATTTAATATTCTTCAAAAGAGATCTTACAGCTAAAGTGAGTACAAGTTTTATCACAAATTGTGCAGCACAACCGTGAAGAGGCAAAAGCCACTTCTTAGTGCTTAATCGTTCAACCCAAATTATGTTAATATGAAGTTCTAAAGGTGTCTACCTAAATATCAAATTACAACAAGTTAATAAATATAATTGACATTTACAATTTTAATTGATTAGGGTAATTAAATTTGAACGGAAAATATTTAATTTAAAATGGACCAATATTTTGACAAACAGCCAAAAAAATATTGGTTTCAAAAAGCAAGAGAAAGAATCTATTGAATTTGAACATTTTTTCCTCTCAGTACTACTTCAACTTTCCGGATCATCGAAGTTATTAACTTTGAATAATGCGCAATGACCTATGTATTTAAAAGTTTGTTCCTTCAATACGTTAAATCGTTTTTTCAAATTTATCCATCTTACCAAAGATTCTTTTATATTGGTCCAACCTAGTACTACGGTACTACCAAATTTTAACGAACATTCAATGACACTTCAAAATTATGATAGCCTGAAATGAACTCACTTCGCTTTCGATACACCCTACGCGTCAAACTTATTAAATAATTCAAGATAACATGTCGCAATGGTAAGATGATTACAGGTTTTCGTTGTATACGTGTCTAGTGGTTTGTGTTGCGTATCTTACCCTTTCATTAGCTATCGACTTAAGGGACATGTCGCAAGAAACCATTGACGTAGATGAAGTAATATTTTACATGCTACAAACAAATATGCGTCGAAAATTTGAAGATAATGGTTCAGCGAATTAGCGAAATAGCTGTCGTTACTAATATTGTTGTAAGGTATTTGGATATGTTGGGAATAAATTGATTAGAAAATTAAAAACCAATGCCAAGCCAGAAAAGTGCTGTATTTCGCGGCAGTCGTATCTCCAACTCTTAGACAAGGCATATTTAAAATAAAATGAAGCAAAAAGTGACAGTGACAGACTTGCTTGGGAATCATTTGGTTAATATTTAATCTATATAATAGTATCATGAAAAAGAAATATAAACGTGCGCCTCTGTGTCTGTCTTTTTTTATATAACGTCCCTACTGTGTTCGAGCGGAATATCCTTTTCTGCATATCTGGTCATTTCCTTCATCGTCTGCGAGGCAAACATGAACCAGAACGGCGGGTATTTTACTTACATGCAGTGGTGGATGATGATGATTGGAATCTGGAGGATCGACACTCAAGATCATCCCAGTTATAAGAAAAAGTTTCACAAAGTGTACTCGTTAGTAATCCAAACCCTTGCCTCTTCGCCGACCCTTTCTTTCGCAATTGCGGTGCCTGGATTACTGAAAACAGATATGACAACGGGTAATGTGTAGCGAAGACAAATTTTAGTTGTAAAATAAAATTAATAAGGTTTCTGTATTCGCACAACGTTTCTTCTAATTTATTTCTTTTCCAAGACTAAAAAACCTTCTTTGTTTCTGTCCAAAAACTATAATATAATTAACGTAAACAATCTAAACAATGTAAGTTCAACTTTTCTTCATCTATTTTTCCATTCTCGTTTTCCTTTTCCTTTAAGGAGAGTTTTTATATTTTGCTCAATGTGGTCGATGGCCCGACAATTTTAATATTAAAGTTGTAGGAGAGTAAGTGGGGAATATTTTAAATATATCTTCAATTGTACTAGGTGTTTCTTCAAATTAGAGCATTATTTTTTTATATAAGACGTCATATATACATTATAAATAAAAATATGACAAAAAGTATGTTAAGTAGGCGCTTCTATAAATAAGTAATTCAACTTAACTCAAGAGGTTCTTTTGTGGAAGTTGAAAATATTGACAATATTTTAGACAATGTCCGAAGGTAAACAGTCCACTCTATATTTTAAACATCTCTCTGATCAAGTCGGAAGACTTTCTTGTTTTCCTTATTCTGCAATTTTTAGCAATCTACAACATCGGCATCATAATAATGGTCGGCATGATAGTCGTTAAAATGATAATGTGTCAGTCGAAATCCGTTACCAAACTTCTGCAACTTGCGCTACAGCTCGACGAGCAAATCAGAGCACAGAAGGAGCCAGAGATGCAACTAATATACCGGCAGCATGTAAAGTTCGATGATAAATTGGTGACGTTGATCGCTGTTTCTGGACTCATCATGGGAATGTTCGTGGTGGTGTATGGTTAGGTCTAGTTGTCATTAGCAGCATCTTGGAAATGTAAGCTTCAACCGTTTTAGGTGATATTGAATGCTACGTATTCTTCAAGGAGAACAAAGAAACCAACATCACGGAGGTACCTGTAGTTGTAAACTATTGGTATCCTTTCGACAAGAAAAAATACTATACGTTCCTACTTATTGATCAAAACGTTCGACCTACTCTGTGCTGTATATGTATCGGAGTAGTCAGTGCTTTCGTCAACTGCATAATTATTTTCGTGCGGTTGCAACTGAAACTGCTGCAGTACAGTTTCAGGAACTTTCATCGGTTTCCTTCGCACGGGGTCAGTTTGGAGGCCGCGAAGAATACATTACGGTTGTTGTGCGTCAGACACCAGCAGCTCATCCAGCAAGTACATCGACCCATCCTCATCGGCTTTTGGTAATGTTCATTTGTTTACAGATACGTGGAGGACCTCAACGAGTCTTTCAAAAATATTTTACTCCTGGAGTACATAGTGTCCGGGGTTTTGTTGGCAGCATTGATTTTGCAAATAACAGGGGTAACTTGAAAAACTGTATTACTTAGGGAACTACGACCCTCGGTTTTAGGGCAATCAACGACTTTTAGTCTGTTTTGTTTTACTGGTATCTGTGGTCCAATTGCTTACGTTCGCATGGAGCGCTAACGAAATAATTGTCCAGGTATTTGAAACTTATAGCTAGAATAACATGCGTTGGTTTGATGTGAAAAACTTGATATATATTTTAGAGTGCGGAATTGGCAAGAGCTCTTTTTGAAAGCAAATGGTACGACCAAAATACCCCTGCAAAATTAATGACGCAAATCATGATGATGAGGTGTCAGAAACCTCTAAGCCTAAGCATCGGTCCATTTGGAGTTATGGACTTGAACGTCGGATTATCGGTGCAGAATATTTTACATATTTTTAAGTTTTATGCTTGATATGTATGCATTTTAGAGGCTCAAACTTGGGTATTCGTATACATCTCTGATGACAAATGGAGATTGATAAATTAGTTATTCGAAAATGCAACATTTCAAACATTTTCGAACCCTGTATTAAGTTGCGAAAATGTTGTGGATTCATTTTGTTTTGGTTAGTTGGTTTCCAAAGTTATTTTTGCAATTTCCATATGCAAAGGATAGAAAAATCAATTTTTGTGGCTTAATTAAAAAAGTAAAATAAATCAACTAATATTTTAGCTAATTAACTAGATATTGTGAAAGAAACACCAGTAAAATGGGCTCAGAATACAATAATTACCAGTTGACAATTTATTCGAGGAATCTAGTGAAAGGCAAAGGATTAGCTTTAACCACCGGTCGTAATCCACTCGCGCTGTATTGTTTTTAAAATATAGTACATAATAAATTTATTTTATTTAAATTTTTGCGGTATGGTAGCTTAAGATTTAATTAGATGCTTTTTCATGCAAGAAGATTAGTTTTTTGTTTGCGTTATAGATATAACTATTAAATGCAAATATGATTTTGGGCTCATTATTTAGGGGTGATTTGCGATGGTAGCGTCGTTAAAACCCACAAGAACGATATTCGTCTTAAATTTCCCTTTATAATATCTACACGACTTTTCTGCGGCAATCCGGGACCATAAACAAGTCGATTCGCTTTCGCACTCACCTTATCGATACCGAAACCCGTGGGACCCGGAGGCAGTGCGAGGGAGGTGCCCGTCCCTCATCGAGGTATATACAAATCGATAGTTTCGAACTGCGTTTTACGAACCATAAAATTGCCTTGGAATGTGGAAAAAGGTATAAGCATGGTTACGTACTCCATAACCTAGCATCGTGTGGTCGTTAAAAGTATACAACTTGCACCTGCCTACAGAGAGGCGGTTTTCCGTCAATTTTACGACTTTTCTCGATAAGTTCATAAAAATTAGTATCTCAGGCGTGCTATTTGACATCGGCTAAGAGAGAGGGAGGGTGCGTAAAATAGTCATTTGCGATAAATGAAGTCAACAAAACTTCCATTATACATATGCTTTACATTGGTCATTTTAGAGAATCTGCAAGAGTCTTGGACCAATTGTCAATTTTGCGGTGCTACGCTGTTGTCATTCTTTAAAGTAAAATAAACATCTCAAAAAAAGTTGTCCTTAAGTATATAAAATCCTTGACTTGCTCGAAAATATAAAAATATGTAGGGTGTTCTGTACGAAATAACAAAGTCGGTGGAGGAAAATAATAAATACAATGGAAGTCGAAAATATCTTATTCCAACAAAGTGACTCTCAAATCGGAAATCCTACAAGTTCTAAAGTAAAATGTGACAGACCATATAAATATAGGAACCGTAGTAGAATTAATTTTAAATTTAAAATACGTTTGATCTATAATTTAAAATAAAACATTTTTGAGCTCGCTCGAAAAAAAAATGGTGGCGAATGTATATATTGTTTTTTAGAATCTGCAAGAAGGTTGCTTCATCATTATTATTAAATTTTTTAATTGAAAAGCATTTTAGATAATGGATATACCAAGAATTACAAAAGGCTAAGACGATTAAGTGAGGCACGAATATTTTTCTTCTTCCTTGTCTGTGTTCTGTTTAATGTACCTAAAAATAACAAACGGTATGATTCACAAAAATTTGCTGGATCCGTTAATTGATATTTTTTGTTGTTTTTTATAAATTTTTGTTTTGTTTTGTTTTTTATAAAGAGAATGAGCGACAGAAAAAAGCTGACTTCTTCATTCAAATGACGTGTTAATTTGAAAAGTATTTAGTTTCGAAAAATATGACAAAAGAAATGAAGTAGTAGTAGTAGTAATAATAAATAGGAAAATGGAGTATATAAGATAAAAATTTAATATAAATTACTCCAACTTCTTAAGGTAAGAAAATTTAAAAAACTAAGTTTGCGCGTATTTGACAAACTTTATTAAACCAGACGGTAGAACTCCTTTTTCAAACCAGGCGCTGTTGCCACATGAAACTCTACATAGTTTTGTTGTAATTTGGCGCGAAAAAGTAAAATGCAAGATTAAGGTTTTGAAGTGCGTATTGTATTTGATACGAAATGCAAAGTGATTAAACTTCTCATAAAATTGCAGGAAAGAAATTGTGTACGTTTTTCTATAAATATAGTTTTGTAGACTGAAAAATTTTTTTTCTACGATATTTGTAGCTCGATATATAAAAATAAAAATAGATGGTTTTTGCTCCAACGGTTATATAGCAATCTCCCCTTTATTTTAAGTAAGTTTTTTAAAGTTTTTCTCATTGCTTTTCGAAACACCCGTTATGTTCAATTATGCCAACAGTTATTAGACATATCAATGATATCTGAACAAAATAGATTTTCTTCAAGTGTTACTCAAGTGACACATCGCGTTCCTACAGGCATTTGAGTCACGAGTTTATTTGGTACTAGCGGAGCGAATGTTTACTAAACGAGTGACTTAAAAAGTTTTTTGTGTTGCATACTATCCTTTTTTTACCACCGCAGTTCTAAGGCTTAACACAAAATTTTCCTTAGTGTGAAATTATAAATATTTTGGTTGCTGTGAAGCATTTTTAGAGATAAAAATTTTTTTTTTAATATAATTTTTGGGTGTTCTTTAAAACCAAGAGCGCCATTGATTAATATTTTTGGGCTCGTCAATTTAAATATTTTGAAATTTGCGTATAGAGATTTAAACATTGCTTTTAAGAAAACCCACTTTATCCTTGCTCCCAAAAATCATAAAATCAGTTTCCTTAGGATTAAGTTGTGGTTTTTGGGAAGATCAGTTAGTATTTATAAGTCCTCATTAATAAATTTAGCCTCCAAGAAATCTTGAAATAGTTGATCTGAAAACCGTATATGTTATGTATTTATGCACACATGGACTGTAGAGTTTAACCATTAATGGCGAGATTCATGTCATGTCATGTCATGTAAAATTGTTATGTGTGAAGTTGTCGCCCGCGTTCCTCGCCGAGCGATTCCCCTCTACCCCTACTCCAACCACTAGCTCCGTCCACTGCTGCCGTGCCTGCCGCTTGCTTACATCATAGACGCGCGACCTGGCGACGGGCATTCACTATTTTAATAGAAATATATATGTTCTAAAATATTCTTCAGATTCATATTCAGATAAGAATATTACATTTATAATGCTACTTCTATGTAGTATATCTCAAAAATATACGTTCTTACATCCAATATTTTTTTAGAAACTGTTTTTCAAAAAATAGAAAATATTTTTTTTACATAGCTTCCGGTCCATGTGCATTCATTGCGTTGATACCACTAATGGATAATCACAAAAAGGCTATTTCATCAAAATTTGAATAAAGCAACTTGGGGATTAGGGGGTGAAATAAGCAAAAAGCGTATTTTGCGGAAACATAAAATATATTTTTTTAAATATGTGCCGGTCTATGTGCAGCGATTGTGTTAATATCACTAAAGAAGTAAATACAAACGCCTACTAAATAATTGTAGATATAGTCAGTGGAACATTAGATTATGGACACCTGCTATTTTCACAAATTTTCTAATTTTTTACTTGTTTCCTGTTGTGGTAAATAAAAAAGGCTCGTTGATATTGTCCGTTTTCTGCTTATTTCAACCCCTAACCCCCAAGTTGCTTTATTCAAATTTTGATGAAATATCCCTTTTGTGATCATACGTTAGTGGTATCAACATAATCAAAATCCGTTTTTTTCTTATTTCAACCCCCAATCCCCAAGTTGCTTCATTCAAATTTTGATGAAATAGCCTTATTGTGATTATACGTTAGTGGTATCAACGCAATAGCTGCACATGGACCGGAACCTATATAAAAAAAATTTTTCTATTTTTTGAAAAACAGTTTCTAAAAAAATATTGGATGTAAGCCAACGTATATTTTTAAGATATACTAGGTGAGGTAGCATTATAAATGTAATATTCTTATCTGGATATGAATCTGAAGAATATTTTAGAACATATATACCGTTTTTCTATAAAATGGTGAATGCCTGTCGCCAGGCCGCGCGTCTATGATGTAAGCGACAGGCACGGCAGCCGTGGGCGGAGCTAGTGGTTGGAGTAGGGGTAGAGGGGAATCGCTCGGCGAGGAACGCGGGCGACAACTTCACAACGGTCAGAAAATACATCAATTTCATAAAAAATACCACTTTCGCTGCAGTCTGCAATATCTTGCAAAAATTAAAAAAAAATCATTTATTTGGTTGGAATCGAATAAATAATTTGAAATAGACCTATTTTTATTTAAGCAAATGTTTAAAAAAAATCACCTCTTTTTTCTTGGACCTTTTTTGTTCTTATATTTTGTTTAAAATAGTTGGTAACCAATTTTGAATTGTAATTTGTTATCTGTTATTAGTTCCATGCATATAAGAAAATATTAAGAACAAAACGGAAGTTAAACGCGAGTTTTATGGTGTGAAATAAGTAAAACTGTGCACGGTCAAAACTGAATTGAACTGAATTTTCGCCTGAAGCACAATTTCACTAATTCCTATTGATGTGGTCTCGCAATAATGTAGTTTTTTAAAGACAATTTAACTGCTAAATAGGGATGTAAGTTTTGTTTTAATCCATTAGACATGTGTAAACTCAAGCTGTAAATTTAGCAACAGCGCCGGAGGCAAACTAATCCGTTAGACAGAACAATTTTATATACGATGAGGTTAAAAGGTGCTAGTGCTGACAGGAGTACTGTACTAAAATTTTATATCCTAAAAAATACAGTGTTTTTAACCCTCTGCACTTGCTCCTTTTCAGTTGACGTAGTTATACAAGTTATATCTGTTCTGGGGGGTAGGATCGGTTGCCTGACTTGCATTTCCCATTCAGCATATGGTGTAACATAACGTCTTCAACTATAGTATTTTTTTTCTTCCGTCACGCTTCAAGTTTGTATCCCTTCCCCGGGGCCGAAAATTTTGTACAATTTTTGAAACAACTTGTTTTATCACTTTGAGTTGTTCTTTTACTGTTTTTTTGAGGTATTCCAGCTTTAAAAAATTCTATAATTTTTCCTTTAAAATGAGCAGAATAATGTAAGCCATGAGGCATCTTGCACTATGAGGCTTTACGGAAAAACTAGCGAATAGAAAATAAAAACCAAAGCTTTTTCTCAAAATTGATCATCTAGTAACCGCTACAATGCGTTGAATGCTTTTTTATACTAGTTCTAGCTAGTACTACGGTACTACCAAATTTTAACGAACATTCAATTGTACTTCAAAGGCATTATTGCATGAAATGGACTCACTTTGCTTTCTAATCAAGCTTATTAAATCATTCAATATACTATGTCGAAACAGGTCATTACATGTTGCATACGTGTTTAGTGGTTTGTGTTGCGTATCCTACTCTTACATTAGCGATCCATAAAAGGGATATCTCAGAAGAAACTATTGGCGTAGGTGAAGTTATATTTCGTAGCCATATAAGCGTCGAGAATTTAAAATAATGGTTCAGCGAATTAGCAAACTAGTTGTCGTTACTAATATTGTTGTAACGTATTTTAATATGTTGGGAATAAATTGATTAGAAAATTAAATGCCATTGCCATATTTCAAATAAAATAAAGAAAACCATTTGTTTAACATTTATATACGACGAAGGTTCACAAAGATTACTTTTAGTAATCCAAACCCTTGCTTCCTCGGTGACCCTTTCTTTCGCAATTGTGTTGCCTGGATTACTGAAAACAGATATGACAGCGGGTAACGTGTAGCGAAGATAAATTTTATTTTTAAAGTAAAAGGCCTAAGGTTCTTGTATTCGCACAACGTTTGTGTCTAATTTATTTATATTGCAAAACTAAAAAATCTTTTTTGGTTGCGTCGAAAAACTCATTATAAAAATGTCTAAGTAATGTAAAACTTTTTTACTGTAATTATGTCATTCCTTCATTTATTTTGCCATTTTCGTTTTCGCAGTTCCCTTCCTTTATGGAGATTTTATATATTTTGCACAGGGTGGTCCGCGGACCGAAAATTTTAATATAAAAGTTGTAGGATAGTTAAGAGAGTCATATTTTAAAGATATTTTGAATTATACGGAGTGTTTATTCTAATGATAGCAGTACCTGTAGTTGTAAACTATTGGTATCCTTTCGACAAGAAAAAATACTATACATTCTTA